GAACTGCCACCCCTGGTTTCATCCCGAATCTGCTCGCCCCGCTCTTCCCTGGGGTCTTTGTAGAAGCATATATCCTTGAAGTTGTTACCTTGGTTTGCTTTTCTCCCGACGCAGTTGATGCAGAGGTCTCAAAACCTGAAGCAGGTATCGTGGAGGTAAGAGGTGATAGCTTGGTTGATGCTGTGGTTTTGTTTATTTTTGTCTTTTGCGTCGACGTCATTTGTGGTTTTGCTGAGGCACGAGTTCTGATTTCGGGATCCTCTTGCTCTGAAATTTGGGTGGCTTCCGGGAAAGCGTCTGCTTCGGCTCCAGGTAAATCAGAGACTATCGGTACATGCTGGTCCTTGGTGTTGTTTGGCCTGCTTGTGGGATATTTCGAGTTTGGTCTGGGCAATGCGGGCTCTGTGCTGATCTGGGACAGAGGAACTGAACTGGGTCCAGGAAATATCGTCTCTGTGCTACCATCGGTCCTAGATTCTTCCTGTTCTTCTTGCGGTTTTTCTTGATCCGTTTCATGACCCTGAGCGCCCTCGTTGGGTTGAATAGAAGAAGGAAAGGTGGAAAAAGTTGTCCTGGAAGAAGCTGTGATCATTGGTGGTGGAGGTGTAATTTCGCCTGGAGGTTGTGAGCCTTGAGGTTTTCCTTCTGGAACAGCTGTGATTTCCGCCTCGTAGGAAGTGCTTGTCAGTGTGATCCAGTACACAGGTGTCTCTCCGGCCCAGCGAGTGGTAAGAGCACCGCCGGCGTGGCCTCCAGGTATATCAAAATCTGAGTCTTTAGGAAACCAGTAGTTGTAGTGCTTTGAGCACACCTCAAGATCATGGTGGTGTTTGCCGTAATCAATCTTTAGAGAGGAAGGAATGTATGCAGCTGGTACCAGCTCATAGTTCCACCCCCAAGGATCGTCATCAATTATTGGTACACTTCCGGTTATTTTTGGTTGACTGCTCCTTATCTTGGGACCAGTTTCGCATGATGATGATGATGATGATGATGACGATGATGATGATGGCGATGATGGTCCATCGGTTATGGTTGTCTTGATTGTTCCTCTCATAACGAAATGGTCGTACTGCAAGACCATTAAAGGCGTCGGATAGGCCCTGGATGTTACATTAGTGTCAGAAGAGACGAGTGTTAACTATTAGGGGTGTGTTTGTACTTACACTTTGTAGGTCCCTGTCCCAGCCATTTGAATTCCCAAAGAGTTGGTTAGAGGTACGATATTTGATGGCGCTGCGTTTGAAATCGTGGTGGTTTTGGTGCTGTTGAGCTCCATGTTGACAACAGTCATGACAGTTGCGGCTGTAAAGGTTTCCGCCCGTATAGCCTTAGTCCAAGTGTAAGCCGCTTGAACGATCCATGCTGTGCAGTCATTGGAACACTCGGACACAGTGGTAGAAGCGTTGATGAAAGGACGACTGGCGAGAGAGGTAAAAGGCCATAGGGCCAGCGCTAGCAGAAGATGAAGTTGAAGCATGAAGAATCGACTGTGAGGTTTGTCTCAAAGCTGTTGGCTGATGTCTGTGGGATAGCTTTAGTTTCTAGTCAAATGGTCAGAGGTCTATCTGCCTGTATATAAATTGCTCTTTTGAATTCTTCTGTGCATCTTTGCTCTGTCAACCAGGCCAGGTATTCATTGGCCATCCTGTCAGACTCTCCGGTAATCACATTTGGGATAATTGGTAACGCTTGCCACCATATACCAATCTTCATCAGCCTGAGGCCCATCTGAGTGGTCTCTCGGGGGTCACTGCAGATCGGCCTTCCCTCTAAATACGAAGGGCCATTGGCAAATCGACCACTACGGGCTGCTACAATTTAGCAAATAGTATCTAATTCTCATAGGCCACGCCAGATTGCCGAAGATGCTGACCTAGGCCAGACCTGCGGCCAGGCCGATGTATAGGGAGATGCTCAGTTTGAGTACGTAGTAGGTGCGTCTTACTCAGCCCTATACCCGCCCTACTGAGAAGTGAAACAGCGTCCATCTTCTTGAGGCCAAAGTAATCAGCACCTTAACTTCATTTCCGCATAATTTGCTCTGCGCATCAGTAAATTACACTCCCACACATGTTACTTATCGCTGTTTGGGGAATCCTCACCCTAAGGTCACCCTAAGGCCCAGTACTGATACATGCTGAAGTCCTGGAGGCCGCCCATAGGCTTCATGACTTGATACGAGGATTAATAATTTTCTGTTGTTGGCTAAAAGATGACACTTCTAATGAATAGAGTAATCAAGAGCAACATGCCAATGTACTAGTACTTGAGAATCTTTCATATTAAACGGCGTTGAAGGCATGCCCAGAAGAGCCTTGGAGATCTGATGATATAAATTAATCTAGGAGTATCTGCAGCGCTCAATCCGGGCCATGACTCTCACCATCAAAACACCGGGGAAGACGACAATCCAAAACACACGCCTAAATCTCACACTGCTCATTATCTCATCAGCTCTCTATGGCACCATAATATGGTTTGCTCAAACAACATTCCAAGCCCTTCGTCGATCCGAGCAAGACCTTCCCCTAAACTATTGGCACAAAGTCGACGGCAGCACCACAATCGCAGTCTTGCAAGCTCTCCAAGGGGTGCTCGGATTAACCAGCTCAGCAGCTCTGATTGGATCCTTGAATCTTCTCCAGTGGTACCTCTCCGCTCGTTCCTGCGGACTGAAGTATGTCGCGTTTCTTGCACTTTCTCCCTCGACGGATATCTTTGGAACCTTCAGGATCCTTTTCCACCGAGGTATTACTGGCTTAGAGAGATTACTGGTCTCTCTCAGGATCCTTCTCCAACTGCTCGCTTGGTTGGCAGGACTGCTCCTACTTTGTAAGTCACACACTATTTGTTTCTGATTGAACGCTTGACTGAGATCTGGTAGTGAAGACTTCAGAAATCACTGTCAACGATACCATCATTATATACGACGCGACTGCCGGCGTGGGCCTCTTCGAGCCATCATACGTTGCATCTTATCTCGAGCAACTCCACTCACTCGTGCCTGAGTATCCTTTCCAAGTCCTTCCCTATTCTGCATCGGCAACTGCCTTCAACCTGGTTCTCAACCCGCTTCACTCTTCAGGGGCCTCAGCCATCAACTGTCATGACGATATCTCATGCAATTCGTATATACTCACAGGCGGGATAAGCTTGACGACGCCATGGGTTCCACAGTTCGCTTCGTCCAACGACCTCATCAAGCTGTCAAACGTCCCATCCATCCAGCTAGAGTTTGACTCTCGCGAAGAACACTACGAATTTTTAGAGGCCGACTGTTCCAAGTACGGAGCTGACAACATCCTGATCGGGATGATGCTCTGCATTCGACACGACGACGAGTATCCATCAAGTCTCGTGGCGGGTAAGCCAGAATCCCGACTCATCGAGAACCAGCCAAGACTACTGACGCTTGTCTCCAATTCTTCCACAGGCCTATTCATCTGCCCCTCAGGAACCTCCTCGGAAACCTGCTCACTCCCCCACTCCTCCACCCTCCCATCCCTCACAACCTCCCTCTCAATCTACACACTCTCCACAACCCTCCTAGCATCTCCCCAAAACTACACCATCACCTCACTAACCGCCAGTACCACCCCTCCAACCCCATACCCACCCATCAACAACGACAGCAACTTCCTCCCTGCCTACCGTTCATCCCTCTCCTGGCTACTAAACTACACCGCAACCGCCACGCCGGCGCCTTCCTCCCAAGCCCAGCTCTTCTGGTCCTCCATCTCCCACCTGCAAGGCTCAGACCCGATATCCCGCGTCGTAATAACCCAAACCTTCCACTCGATCCTCGCTTTTCCCCTGTGGTACTTCCAACCCAACAACTTTGGAAACTTTAAACTCGACGCAGAGGAGATGACGCCACCCAACCTCCTGCCCGACGACGAAAAGTTTTACACCACCGCCGCGCTCGTAAAGCCCTACCGCAACAAGATCACGATAAACAGGGGGATGTTCTGGGGTTTCGTGGCCGGACAGGGCGTCGTTCTATCCTTTGTCTGCGGCGTTTTGGTCTGGGTTATACTCGGAGCGGAAAAAAGCAGGGAAGTGCGCGTCTCGAGTTTTGTTCTTTTTGACGGGGCTAATAAAGTCGAAGGTTTGGAAGTTGAACCTGTGGCACTGGACTTGGAAGACGGGAGTATCTGTAATAATAATAGCAGTAGCAGTAAAGGGTTGGATGACGGGGGAGTGTTGAAAGCGATTAAAGGGAGGAGGGTGTATGTGAGACGGGAAGGAAAAGGGGAGGAGTGGGAGAGGAAGGAAGTGTTGTGTTGATTTCATTTGGTGTGAAAGAAGTCGGAATTGTTTTTGGGGGTTTTGAAAACAGTTGTGTGGTGTGCTATTCTTATTGATAGCCGGAGGGTTAAAATAAAAACCTCGCCCGCAGCATTCACTGTTTTTTTTTTTTTTTTTTTTTTCCTTTCGTCATTGTTCTGTGTCAGAGAGTCATAGTTTCTGAACGAATTCAAGTGTTGTCATCACTGGTTGCCAGTGGTGCTTACACTTCCACGTGTTGGGATTGTAGCCCCCAGTGCTTCTTTCCCCTGATGCGTGTGGTCTGCGTCACCCAAAAAAAAAAAAAAAAAAAAAAAAAAAAAAAAAAAAAAAGGCGTGGAGGGAGCGATAGATAGGCGTCCGTGGCGTTGTGGGCGGCTTCGTTCCCTCCGACCACACACTAATTATCCAAACATGGTTGCGCCAATCTCAGTTTTTTGCTTTCGGAGAACGCCGTGTGTGTGTGTTTCCCCTGAAAGATGTTTGGGCAACCACCAAAGGCCTGACCAAAACTCCAAAATAACAGACAATCTAAATGCACATTATCACGAAACAAAAGGTTCCGAGATGAAAGGAATAAAATGAATAAATGGAAAATAAAAATAAAAAATTACCACTGCACGGTTTTTCAACACTAGAGAAAAATGTAGCATTACATCAAAAAAAAAAAAAAAAATTCTCTCAATCATGAGAGAGAATGCATCAGAAACCGACCATGCTGGGACTCGAACCCAGAGCCTTTACCAACTGAAGGAACCTTGTTTTATCCCGCTCAGAACGAGCAGGAGACAGACAACCGGAAAGTAACGCGCTACCGTTGCGCCACACGGCCTTGTTTTTTTTTTTTTTTTTTTTTATTGTTAGAGATGATGTTGAATTTTCATCACCATTCCATGGATATAAGTTGTCAGATTCTTTCGGCGCTGGAGAAGGAAAAAAAAAAAAGGTTTGTGCCAGGGAAGTGTGGAGATTTGACAGATTTCTTGGTCAATGGCATGTGGGGCAGGCAGATTTTAGTTGGGCACAAAAAAAGCTTTTGAGCTCTTGTGAGGTGCTGGACAGAGCAACAAAAGAACACACAAAAATGAATCAAAGAAAATAAAAATATAAACCACCAAAAAAGATAGTTGATACTCGGATACCGGGAGTCGAACCCGGGGCTGTTGAGAGAACATATCACTTCTGAGAAGTGAGAGTCAACGATGTTACCGCTACACCATACCCGATGAGAGAGATGGTTTCCGACAAGGATTGATGGAGTTGAGCAAGGAAGTTGAGGTATTTGATGGGAGTGCAGAATCGACGTGAGCGAAGTGGTTGTGGAAGATGGGATGATGCTTGTGTTGGAACTAGGCTGTCACGGCAGTGGCGGGCCAGTGGCGGGGCACTGGCGGGGTGGTGGGCATTCAGGGGTTCAGGGGGCTGGCTGCCGAGTTGATGTTTACATAGTTCTGTTTTGGGGAGGTATATCCTTTAAAATTCGAACACCAAATAATTAAGGTACGCTCGGCTCAAAACTGGCACACTGACTATGGAGTAGCCTAAACGCCACTCCAGAACCTAAATCGGTCAAATCCACCAACGCCATGTTCCCCATCCATGACAGCATCGTGGAAAACTAAATTCTTTCGTTTCCAAGTTTCATTGAAGAGTGGATGGATATTCCTGGTCCTTACTCAGAGCTTGAAGGAGGATTCGCGAATTTTCGGGGTTTGATCCGATGCATCCGTGAAGCCCCACCGAAACCCGGGCATATCCCGGCGTTGACCACTTTTTCATGCTTTTCGATATGAGAGGAAGTGATGTGATACTATCTGGAAAGAGGTTTTGATAAGTCAAGACAGGATTGGTGAGAAACTCAAGACTCACAACACGCATCTAAATAGCCCGCAGACAAGATCTGGGACCCAAAACCTCATCGCGCGACGCGAACGCAAATCAGATAGCTCCCCCCCCCCCTCCCTACACGTTGATGAGCCATGAAAAAAAAAATCGAGATCTTCCCAAGCCGGCTTTATTGACAATTTTTTTTTTGTGGAGTTATTTTTGAGCGAAGGCCAACAACAACAACAACCTCCGGTCTTTCCGTTTTCTTCCATTTCTCGCCATCTTTTGCCTCTAGTTTGACTTGTTGTGTATGAACGATTATTTCTTCCTCTTCTCCCTTTCTCTTCCTTCAACAGGGCGAACGTCCTTAACAATTTCTCTTTTCTTTTGTCTAAAGTTGCCGATTCACCGTTTTGTCTGTCTTTCCAGTGGTTGGCTGACCGGACCCGGACCCGGCCTTCCCCCACGGATTTTATCCACCTCCTTTTTGTTTTCGCCCATCTACGACTGGTCCCCGGATTCCGGGAGGTCTCTCTCTCTCACAGAACATGAACTCCACCGACTCCGGCGACATATCGCTGGCACCGTCCGCGAAAGACCTCTGGAACACCCTTCTCGGCATCCGGACAGGATGTTACCCCTTCATGCCCGATGTCCTCAAGCCCGTGTACGGCTACAAGCCAACACTGGGTGCCGGGATAGCCTTTGACGCCCTTTTTGCGTTGGTAATGATGGGCCATTTCATCATCTTTGCCCTCCACCGCAGATGGACCTCATTCCTATTCGCCATCGGCTCACTCAGTAAGTCATTCATACATACATACATATATCGCTGTTCTAACGCCCAATCCCAGCGGAACTAATAGGCTGGGCCGGCCGCACCTGGTCATCCCGCTGTCCCTACAACCAAAACGCCTTCCTGATCCAAATCACAACCCTCATCCTGGCGCCCACCTTTTACTCGGCAGCGCTCTACGTCCTCCTGGCAATCCTCATCAACCGTCTAGGCCGCCAAACCTCCATCCTCTCCCCAAAATGGTACGCCATAATATTTTGCGCCTGCGACGTCTTGTCTCTGGTGATCCAGGCCATCGGCGGCGGCATGGCGGCGGAAGCCACCAACCAGATGGACGGCGACACCGCTCCTGGGACTCACACCATGGTGGCCGGTATTGTTTTCCAGCTGTTCACCATGACTGTCTTTGCAGGGTTGGTGTGTGACTTTTTGAGGAGGGTCTGGGCGCTACAGGGAAATGGAAATGATGGTGGAAGGCTGCTCCTGACGAAAAAGTTGAGGATGGTGTTGGGGTCGATGTTTGTGGCCTTCATCATGATTTATGTGCGGAGCATTTACAGAACGATCGAGCTGGCCGAGGGGTGGGACGGGAATTTGATCACGCACGAGGGGTACTTCGTTGCGTTGGATGCTGCGCTCATGTTTACGGCGGCTGCGGTGTGGCTGATGCTCGATCCTGCCGTGCTGTTGAGAGATGAGCATAGGGCGGCCAAGGTAAAGGCAGAATCAGAGGCGCCGGCTCGCGACCCAAGGGAATCCCCTGAGCAGGATCATGGTGAGGAGTCCGAGTCGTCTTGGGGTTCTGAGAGGAAGTCGGCCGAGGGTCTATAAAAAGAGTCGTGGTTCGTTTGCTTCTCTGTCTGATAGAAGAACATGTGTAATGACAATTGTAAAAGGTTTTAGGACAATATGATGAAGTTTTTAAGGCTCTGTTTAGTTCTGATGACTAGGGATCTTTGAATTTGGACTGGTAAATCGAAAGAAAGCACAGGCCAGCGAACTGTCAAGGATGCATCGAAAGCTTCCAACTGTATAGGGGCCATCCGCAAAAGATCGAGAAGTCTCTACTCCCCTAGAAGCTGCTTACTGTATCTGATTTGCTTAGTTGTTATCTCGGGCACTCCCCTGATGAGCGCAAAAACCCAAACCCCGTCTTTCTGAATAGGAATGCCTCGAATCTCTCTTCCGGAATCTGACTCAAAGCGCCAGCAAAAAAATAGTCTTGACGGTGTGGAATACCATGTCCCCGCAGGGCGAGATCTTATAGGGAAGTCGCAGTCTCGGTTGTTGGGTTTCTTACAATCGAAAGTGACATGAGATGGAAGTTGCGGAAAGAAGGGAAAAAGGTTGTGGAAGGAGCTGGGATGAAAATTCAGTCCCACATGGGCAGTGACTCCCTCGCTCCTTTCCCGCGCGATTTCAGCAAGCTTCCATCGAGTTGAAACTATATAAAAGCACCAAAACTCAGGGCATCCTACTGATCAAGGCTCCCTTTATCTCATAGCCCTTCCAGGAAGTCTCTGGGGATGAAAAGGCCTCCTTGGAGATTGAAGCCGTCTGGTGGGCAATATCGATCAATAAATCGTAATCTCCCACTTCGCACCCCAATTGCCTACCTCATATCCCACAAACTTGGTTTCAGACTTCTCCCAATCCGCCCAAGAGAGACCGCTGACTTCTTGAAGCCGGCCTCGAGTGTACCTCCTGCAAGCATCACGGAAGATTTCGGCGTTTTGCTCTCTGTGCACATCAAATTGACCAACTCTCACAAACTCAGTCTCGGTATTCGAATGAGCGGGCAATAAAATAATACCCGCGATCGAGGGGACATTAACTCTCGACCCCAATTCTTCACCGGTTAGAGGTGACGGCGGGCACCGAACCGGAAGAAAGTAGTATGAGCCGGAGCCGGAGCCGGAGCCGGAGCCGGGGCCGGAGGTACTGTTGGAGTGCTCGGTGGGATAATCCATATATGCTTGTCCAAAATACCTCCCATCCGCAGTTTGTACCATCTTACACGATCCAGCAACCTCGTGGACTTCCCGCTCAACGGTCACTCCTGTCATAGCCAGGTTTCCTCGCACCCGGAGAATGCCGCCATTGATCTGCCCAAATGGATGTTTGTCATTGACCAGATCAACCTGCACATCAATAATATTAAGCATGATGTCGCGCTCATCGGCGTGTAGCACGGTAGCCACGCCCGAGGCTACCTTGCCATCGTGGAGAGAAGCCCACGACCAACTTGGGACGCGGTTCTTCTCAGAAGCGGGCGAAGGTGCAGTGAAACTAGGATCTTTCCAGCCGTCTGTGTACCATAGCAACTGAGATGCGAGGTGCTTTCGCCACATACCAGCAAGGTATTGAGAATTAATGTGTTTCTGCACCACGGTAGCTAACCCCGACAATGCTGGAAGCTTGTCCTTGACAAAGGTAAGCCCGAGACTGGAGTAGTTCTGAACAAGATTTCCCCACATGCTGAAGGCATCCAGCTCTGGTGCGGGCGAGAGACCTATAGTCTCACGGAAATAAGCACCATCGACATGAGGGAGAAGGGTGCTTTTTGGTGCCCAAATTCCCGGCGGAAGTCCTGAGGGGAAGGTTTCGTTTGCTGCGGTCTCTTTACACTCCCAGAATACTTGAGCACGTCCAAATATCACATTCCGGGGTGCCAAACATCTCTCTTGGAAAACCCAGGCTCTCCGATTGAGAGGTTGCAAAGAAACATCTCTCAGCCAGTATTTCTCTCGTATTGCATAATGCGGCCCTGGATTTGGTCCCCAGTTGAGGTCAACTTTCACGGGCTTGACAAGTCTGGGGTCCCTCTCAATAAAACACCCCTGCGTCCCATCGGCAGCATGGGCAGCAGCAATGTTGCAAAACGAGTTTGAGTAGACTTTGGACATCCTCGAGGACTCGGCTTCCCAGTCCGAGCGCGATTCAGGCCCTTCTTGGATGATGCAAAGACTGTCAATCCAGATGTACTTTAGTCCTAGCCGCCGGGCAATTGCAAAGGCATCTAGGAATGTTATTGACAGATCGTTGGGCCGAATTTCTTCCTGAAGCCGGGAGAAATTGGCAGATGTGAGTCGAAGAGGTACGTGGGAACCCCAGCAGTGGCTCAGCGTGGCATACGGCAAGATTGGTGTGCTGCTGTCGACTACCAAGAGTCTCACGGAATCTGATGTTAGATCAATGACTCTTGTTGGAAGGCTGGGTGGCGTATCAGGACGTTGTGTGTTGCACAGCTTGTGTGTTTTGGTGCAGCGGCCCATCCAGTTCGCAATGAGTTTCCAGGTTGCATCTGAGTTCGTGCTGGATTGAACTTGGTCGTGGTTTACAAATGGAGAGGCAATGGATGCAGGAAACAGATCCAACTGAACAAAGTTCGCTGTTCGACCCTGTAACGCAATTTGCGGATGCCGTCTATTGTTTTTGTACAGCTCGAGGTTGTGTTTGAACCGAAGTCGACGACCAATGGCGGCCTCAGACTCATCCATTCGGTCCTGCCGTGTATGCTCGGACATGCACTCCACCAAGTAATGGCAAAGGGGACAGCCGCCGGAAGACGAGGCTTCCAAGGACTCGAACGCCTTGATTTGCCGGAACGCATTCCCTGAGCTGTTAAATCCCGCGTCGACCAAGGAATCGGGACACTGTGAGTTCAGTATTGCTCGGCATACGGAGCACAGGTCGGGATTTTCGTCGTTGGGTGGAATGAAACAAGACATGACGAGCTTTTTTTGAGGTTCCGATGATGCGAGAGGAAGTTTGTGGCTGGAGGCAGCAAGCAGTTTCAAGCCTACCTGGTAACTGCCCAAGCTGAAAGGTTCGGGCAGGGGCAGTCAGAGCCTATCGACAGCCTCAAAAAGCATCCGACCCCATTCTTGCCGTCAAGAGCACGTTCGTCAAACAATCAACATGGCAAGCAACAGGAGTGCGCAAGTCTGGTGAAAGAAAAAGAAAAAAGAGATGTTGGAATGATTCAGGTGGAAAAAATAATGCGGTTTATGTGGATCGAACACATGACCTTCAGATGTATTGATTGAAGTGGACTTCAGTCTGACGCTCTCCCAACTGAGCTAAACCCGCAGTGGTGATTTGATGTTGTGCACTCCTCTATTGGCAATTGAGTAAGGGATCCCTACTGGTGTGGACATGAATGATGCTATCGCCAACTCGAGGATGCCAAAGTGAAGGGCTTCTTCATGTCTTAGCTTTTGCACAATTGATGTCGAGATTTTTATTAAATCTTGCACAGCTTGTAAATAAGCTACAGTTCCGCTGACGCAAATTCCGTGGTCGAACTACATCATCAACCGTACAGCAATGATGGAAATTATCAAGATCATGAAATGCCATTTTTTATCTTCTCGATACATAAACCATATTCCCTTCCCTAACTCAACTAACTCCTCGTCACATTCCCCGCAATCAGCTCCCCAAACTTCTTAACCATCCCATCATAAGCCGGATGCTTCTCGAAATCCTCAAACCACAACAAGCTAGCCCCATTCCCGGGGAACACGTCAGGAACCCAGCTGAAGGGATCATAAAAATCCCAAACCGTGATCCCCACGCAGGCCTTCACTTTGACGCAAGCCCCCACGACCTTCTGGTAGCACTCGCTCTGCCACTGCAGCTTCTGCTCGTCCGCGGGGAGCTTAATCCTCACGTCCAGCTCCGTAAACGCGACCTCGTCGACCAGATCCGCATACCCCTTACTCGTCTCGATCAGATCCGCCTCGCTGGGGTGGTTATCGGCATGCAAATGCGCCTGCATCCCCACGCCGTCAATTCTTATACCGGCATCCTTCAGCATCTTGACCAGCCGCTTCGCGCCGGCAGTCTTCACCGAAGCGGGTCTCTCAATACCGTAATCGTTGTAATACAGCTTCGCCTCGGGGTCAACCTCCGCTGCGACGCGGAAGGCAAGCTTGAGATACTCCTCACCCAGCACGTTGTAAAACACAGACTTTCTGTACGTCCCGTCCTCGTCCAGCGCTTCGTTGACTACGTCCCAGGCAAAGCACCTGCCTTTGTAATAACCCGCCACGTTGCGAATGTGCCGCTCGATAGCTTCGGTTAGGGTTTCCGGAGTCCATTCCGTCGTCTCGACCCAGGGAGCGAGCTGGCTGTGCCAGACTAGGGCGTGGCATCGCAGGAGCTTGTCGGTGCGGTTGGCGAGGTTGGCTACGTAGTCTCCTTCCGTATAGTTGAACACGCCCGGTTGAGGCTCGGTAAACAGCCATTTTTGGCCGTTGGTAGGGGTGGTTTGGCCGAACTCTTCCGGGTCTTCGAGGATGGCGTCGTACTGAGCGTATGATTGCGGGTAGGGAGCTCGCTCACGGAAGCCGGGGGTGTCAGTTGCTGCGCCAAAGTAGGTGAGACCTGCTTTCTGAGCGAGCTTGTGGAGTTGTGCTTGCGTTGGAAGGGGGAGAGCTGCAAGCAGCGAGAGAGTAAATGAGGCGAGGCGCATCTTGGTTCGTGTGGTGAGGGGGTGGTGATGCCTGAGTACAGAGAGGGAGAAAGAGAATTCTCTATGAGGGAGTCGATGTCATTTATCAACATCCCCCTCCTCTCTCCCTCTCTCTCTCTCTCTCCCTCATTCTCCAAATCCCAATTTACCCCCTACCCAGGCCCACGGAAACGGGACAAGAAAGCGATCTTCCCATATTAATTAGAATACCACTTACAACAATGTGATAGTGATCTAGATGAAAGTCTGCCGCGGCCCGGAGGTGCAGTGGTGATCGTGGGTCCGTTCTTCCCCCGCTCGCCGGGACGGAGGTGTTCCCCAAATATGGACCTCGCCTTCAGCCGAACCAGTGGAAGGTGATATCGCCAAGCCCACGTCTGGTATTGAGCCTTGTAGGTTCTGGGCTCCCGGGTAAAGGTGATTCGGCCGGTTATATCGGCCCCGGGCAGGAACCCATTGATCTGTAAATGATCGACACGATAGATTATCCCCGATGCGCACCAAGGGGAACAATATAATTGGCTTGCTCTTTGTCCAGACGACGTTGTAGAGGATTCAAGGAGGAAAACTACATCCGGGTCAATGATGTCAACAAGAACTTATGAAACAGCATACTCCAAATACGACGACGTGGTCATCCCTCACCGGCCATTACTCATGCACGCGGAAAAAACTCCTCCGTGGTATTCGTAGCTCGTACATATCCTCATCACCCATCATTCCTGACCAAATCTTCCCAAACAAAAAAAAACAAAAAAAAAAACAGGGAACCCAACCGAAAACGCTCCATTCTCCCATGCTTAAATTATGACCGTTCCAACAAGAGGTAAATCCCTACTGCTCCCACCAACTTCAACCTTGTACTCGCCTCTAACCAACCTCCACTTCTGCGTCATCACATCCCACACGCTCAAATCTCTCCTGATCAGTTCGAACCGCACAGTCTCGCTGCTCGAAGCATTCAAGAACGGTTTCTCGAACCCTCTCAGTTGCCTCACCGGTGCTCCCCCAGCCGGGATTCCAACATACAACTGTGCAACCTCTGCTCCAGCAACATTCCCCGTGTTGGCCACTTCAGCCTCAACGGTGACCAACACATCCCACAGGTCCTCCTGTCCACCTTCCACGACAGCGCCGATGGGATACTCATAAAAGTTTGCCTCTGATGACTTTTGTACATCAAGGTTGGAATACCCGAACGTGGTATAACTCAAACCGAAGCCGAATGGGTACCGAGGCTCAATGCTTTGTGCGTCAAAATGACGATAATCAACAAACACGCCTTCAGTAAAATTACTTTGTGGGAATCGAGCAAAGATTCCTTGCGGCTTATCAGGTCCAAGTACTGCATAGTCAGTCTCGTTGCGAGCAACGGTGTATGGAAGTTTTCCTGATGGGTTAGATTTCCCGTAAAGAATCGAGACCAGAGCACGGCCTGATGCTTCACCGGGCAGATGGGCGAAAATGATACCAGTGACGTTGGGGTGGTCAGCAAACTGGTCAACAAGACGTATGCCTGCATTGTGCAAGATAACGATGGTGTTGTTGCATCTGTCAGCAACGTGCTTGATCAGTCCGTCGGTGTAGTCATCACGCAAGCCGGGGCGATCGGCACCTTCGGTGGCATAGGCGTTGCCAAACACGAGACAAGCATCGGAAACCGGGTTCACATCTGGCTCTCCACTGTGAAAGTCCCAGAAGAGTGCGGTACCGTCGTCGTAGGCTTGCTGGACAATTGCGTCGAACGGCGCTACCACGAGAGACTGTGATGTTGCCCCCGACCCGCCTCCGGAATAAAGTGTACCATTGAAGGCGACGGTAGTCTTGCCGGCGGTCGAGCCTGACCAACCGAAAAACCCGGCCCCGAATTCCTCATAGTCAAAGGGCCCGGCGCCGAAAAGCCAAGGCGAGAGTCCTCCGGTAGGGTTGTTGACGTCTGGGTTCTTGGCTGAGTAGCCAAAAAGAGAGAGGAGTTTCGGGCTCTTTAGAGGCAATGCAGACCGATTGTTCTTGGCCAAAACATGGCCCTCAACTGCACCATCATGTAGTGTTGACCGGAAGGACGAGTTTCGTGCGTCAACGATGCGATGAGGTTTCGTGAGATCGATCGCCATGCCGACGCCTGGGGCTGGGAATCCCTTGTCTTGACCCATTTGATACCATGTTGCAATGGTTCTATTTTGGGTCAGTTGAGGACACCGATATATACTCTCGAGCAACACTTACCTGATTACCATATCATCCAACCTGCTCTCAGGTACTGAGCCATTGTTGACGGCATCCTTCAGGTGAGATCCCCACAAGGCATCACCATTCGGCATTACCACGTCCATGCCAGCCAGAGCCGTGGCGACACCCGCGTGTTGTGCCCCCCAGTCACTGACAACCCAGCCCTGGAAACCAAGCTCAGTCTTTAACAACCCGTTCTGCGTTTTGCTGTTTGAGCAACCGTAGGAGTTGTTGACCCGCTGGTACGAGCACATAATATTGCCAGTTCCAGCATAAACAGCATCCTGAAAGGGCCTGGGAAGAGTTAACTCTGCGCTCCAAGCAGCATCTCAGATCTAACTTACCACAGGTAAAGCTCATGCATAGCCCTGTCATCAATATTCGACGACACACTCTGCAAATCTCCTCCCGGGTTCCTATTCGTCTCCTGCTCGTTGGCCACAAAGTGCTTCGTCGAAGTAATAACTCCAACGCCCTGAACGGCCTGTACCGTCTCCTTTACCAACACGCCAGCCAAATACGGATCACTCGAGAACCCTTCCCAGTTCCTCCCGCCTAACACCACCCTCCCAGCAGGCCCAACCACAGGTCCAAGCAACACATTCACTCCTTTGGTTCTGAACTCTCTTCCCATTCCCTCTCCCCTGCTTTTCGTCAAACGCTTATTCCAGCTCGCACCAACGTGTATCCCGCTCGGCCACGAACTCACAAAATCCGTCCCTCTCAATCCATTCCCCGCATCAGCCAGGCACATCCCAGGGAACCCAACCCTCTGAACAGCGGGCAAGAATCCAGGGCAGCTGGTATTCGAACTGGACCCCGCCGTCAAGCTAACTTTCTCCTCAAGCGTCAGCTTGCCCACCAGCTCTTTCGCCTTTTCGAACGATTCTGTCCATGATCCCTGTCCGCTCATGGAAGGTGACGGGTAGATCGGTTCCGAATCCCCATAAAAGTGCACATCGTCCGTGATAATCAGGTTTCCGTTCTCGTCCCTCGCAGGCTCTGCAGACTTGGAGTTTCGTTTCGGAAGAGCAGCAAGACCTGCCAAGCCACCGCCTATTATGATGAGGATGACGAGGACGGCGATTGCGATGCCCTTCTTGGTGCCGAGGAATGGGAAGCGGCGGGTGATCCTTGATTGTCAACTGGGCTTGACGACGTTGATGTTGGAATTGTGGGGACTCGGAGGGCCTGAGGGATCTCGGTAGCTGCGAGACGAGTGCCGCGCCGAGGCCTTGTGAGAGAGGAGGGTGGCCGAGGCCATTGTAACTGTCCTTGTGAAAGTGAGACCTGGAAGTGGGGTTGAGAGTACACTTTGAAATTTCACTTTGATGCGTGTTTCCCGTCTGTTTGTTTACTTGCCGGGTATGTTATGGACCCACAA